TAGCGATCGACAATGAGCCCGCATCCCCGCCCAGTCTTCCTGTCTCCCGCGCTCCCCACGGAGCTGCTCTGGCACATCCTGCACCACTGCGCCTTCCCCAGCACCCTCATCATCTGCTCTAGCCGCGCCGAGTTTCTCTCCACAGTTTCCCGCCAGATCCAGCACCAACAACAACCTCCACCCGAGCCATCACGTGGCGCTGAATACGAAGAGGCGGCCGAGGGTGGACAAGAAGCTAGGCCGGAGGAGGGGACGCCACCACGACCACAAACTTCCAGCACCGCAGACGCCAGGGCGACACAACTCCTGGCTGCCCCCCTCTACCAGGTGGCTGTCGCACGGCACATCTGCGTGGTCTTCACTCCTACCGTGTCACACTTGCGCGCCTATCTCTCGGTCTTTTCCGTGGCGGACTCCAAGGTTTCTGCCCCGCCATCTCCGGCAGACAACAACAGCAGCAGCAGCAGCGGCAGCACAGCGCCGAAAGAAGCGCTACTCCTGTTCTACGGACTGTTAGATCTGCATCGCAACACGAGCGAGTGGAGCGTGCAGGGCATCAGCAACACTGCTGCCATCCTCGTGGAGACTGCAAGGCGGATTGGGTTCCAAGCTGTTGTGGTTGAGCCACGAGCTCGTGGGGAGGCTCACACGGAGGAGCTGCTGGGGGAACACATGCCAATTCTCAGCGGTAGTGCAAGAAGGGCTGGTCCAAACCTGGAAGGGAGCGGGTGGACGGGCAGGGCCGTCGACGTACGTTGTGTTCTTGAGCGGTGGTTCCGGTTCCAGCCCGGCAACTGGGGGCCGCAAACTTTAGGGGATCAAACTTCATGACATTTCTCTCACACAGCCTTCACACAATCTATATGGACACACCAGGCGTTTTCCCTGAAATCAACCAAACGCCAACCCGTGGTATCGTATCCATCCTTTCCAAAGCCCAACCCATCATTACGGCATTACATGCGGGGAAAAACACGCCGACAGGCATCGCCTATATGGCTTGCTCCATCTCGGTAATGTACAACTTGATGTGAGACTCCATCTTGAGGTATTCGTCATATGCCGCGTGCACCTCATTTTCGATGTTCTCCTTCAAGTCCAGCATCTAGTGAGTGGTCAGCGACAGTGGGCAAACAGCTGGACCTGGGAAACATACCTTCTTCTCTGTCTGCTCGATACGGATTCTCCTCCGCTCAATGTCTTTGCCCTTCTCGGACCGCTCTTCTGTCAACTTCTTGTGGACTGCTCGCAGCTCCTCCATCGACTCTTTGGCTCTTTGTGCCTTCTCCTGACTCTGTGTCCGCAGTGCCTCGGTCCGCTCCGTCCACTTGGCCAGCTGCCGCTGCAACAACGCTTCGGTTCGTTCCACCTCGCGTACGTTGGCGCCTCGCTCCGTAAGCGCGTCGCGTTGCCTCGCATTCTTGGCGTTTTCCTCCTCCTCCTTGGCTAGCTCGGTTGAGATTTCGTCCAGCAGTTTGATGCACGAAGCAACGTCGGTTGACACTACCGCAAACGAGTCGCTCGACGTCTGCAGTGCTCGTGCCCTCCTATCTAGCGAGTCGATATGGGCCTTGTCGCCGTTTAATGTGTTGCTCAGCTCCGTTAGACTTGCTTGCAGCGCCGATGGACTTTGTAGGACGTAGGGCCGCAGCTTGGCGCTCTCCTGCTTCAAAGCTAGCTTGGTTGCAGTCTTCTCCTCGAGCTCGGCCGCCAGCTCGCCCTTTCGTGTCTTGGCCTCCTCCAGCCGGGTAGCAACCCTCTCCTGGTTTCGCCGCAGCTCCAGCAAGCGCTTCTTCAGCTCTTCGTTCCGCTTCGTCTTCTCTGCCACCCGTACCTCCATCTCCCGTCGGTTGGCGTGCATCTCATCAAGCTGTGCCTCCATATTCTGGTTCTCGATATACAGTTGCTCGATCCGCTGCTTGGTGCTGTCGGCTTTGTTGCAGTGCTCGCTAATAACGCTCATCTGGCTCTCGCGGAAGCGAACAAAGTTGATGATGTACGAAAAGATCTTCACGAGCCGGTCGTGCGTGGGCTTGTACAGGTCCATAAAGTTGAAGTCGTTCACGCCGCAGTCAAGCATCAGCTTGCGCAGCGAGGCATAGAATCCCATCAAGTTACGCGTGTCTGCCGGCATCAGGGCGTCGCCGAGGTCGTTCCCGCACACATCGTCGGCGGCGGCGCGCATGGCGGGGTCGACTGTCGCGCGCGTCTTGTCCATCAACAGCTCGCCAAACCACTCGAAAATCTGCTGCACTTGTACGGGGTTGGGCTTTTGCAAGTCGGCTAGCGTGAAGGGGACGCCGAGCTCGTTGATGCAGCCGACAATTTCGCGGTCTGGTAGGCGCATGTTCGCGTAGGCTTCTTCCTCCTTTTTTCGCGACCGGGATTGCGACTGCGCCGGAGGCAGGATGGACATTCGTGGATTGTAAGCCATCTTAACCAGATCTGTGAGCGCTTTTTCTGTGATCGAGGTGTTGTGGGAGCCGCTCTCGGTCGGGGTTGATTTGGTGTTGGGCTTTGCTGGTGATGCAGTTTTGCGTGTTTGCGCCGATGTTGACGATGGCAGTTGATGGAGGGGTTGTTGCTGCGGAAACCTTGACAGAATGCAGGTCCAGAGACCGGTTCGAGAAGCACGGGCCAACCTGGCGTTGGAGAAAATGTTAGCGTCAAAGTCTCAAATCAGATTGATGGCAATCTGGATTGATGCAAAATCACAGGTTCAGCGCTTCTCTGTGGAAAGGGCATGCCGAGAATGAATAAGACTAAATCAAAAACACACACATGGAATTCCATAGGAGGAGGACATTTTCGCAGTTCAAACATTCCCCTTGCGAAACGGCCTTCATCTCTGATGGTCCGTGCTCAGCGGGTACATGCCCGTCAACACCCATGCAATTGCACAAGCCGCGAAATTTCCCCAGCTTCAACCCCAGACATCACCAAATCACCCCACCTTCATTCGCCGTTCTTGGGCCATTGAGTGCTGGCCCAGCCCAGCACCGCTGCCAAAGATGGCTGCTCCCTATCTCCGAGCTCGACAGTCTCTTAGGACGGCTTTTCGCCCTCTCACAACCCCAAGAAGAGCCGGCAATGCCAATTCCATTCCCCGACGATTCGCCTCGACCTCCCCCTCGTCCTCCACGGGCAGCTTCAAAACGCTTGCCATCAGCGCCTCTTTGGCCCTCACCGGCTTCATTGGCTACTACTACGCTACCGATACACGCGCATCCTTTCACCAATGGGCTGTCCCACGCCTGATCCGCGTCTTCTTCCCTGACGCCGAGGACGCTCACCATGCGGGCACCGCGGCCCTGAAGAACCTCTACGCTCTCGGTCTCCACCCACGCGAGCGACCCTCCGCCCCCGGGGCATCGCCCGATCCTGCTACCAGCCCCCTCGCTGTAACCGTTTTCGGCACTCGCCTTGCCAACCCGCTTGGTATCTCCGCCGGCCTCGACAAGGACGCCGAGATCCCCGATGCCCTTTTCGCCCTCGGTCCTTCCATTGTCGAAGTCGGCGGTTGCACGCCCCTACCGCAAGAGGGCAACCCGAAGCCCCGCGTGTTCCGTATTCCGGGCGTCGATGGCCTTATCAACAGATATGGACTGAACTCGCGAGGCGCCGACGCCATGGCTGCGCGACTGCGCGACCGGCTGAGGAGGTTTGCGCGTACACTTGGGATCACGGAGCAGGATATCATGGAGGGCACTGAAGCAGCCAGTGTGGTTCCGCCAGGGAGCTTGCAACCAGGGAAGCTTTTGCTGGTACAGATGGCCAAGAATAAGACGACCAACGAGCGGGATGTGGAAGCAGTGCAGAGGGACTATGTGCGTTGCGTGGACCGCCTTGCACCGTACGCGGATGTGCTGGTGGTCAATGTGAGCAGTCCCAACACGCCAGGACTCAGAGACTTGCAGGCAACGGAACCGTTGACAAGGATCTTGACCGCGGTTGTGGAGGAGGCACGGAAAACCAGCAGGAGTCGGAAGCCCAAGGTCATGGTGAAGGTATCGCCAGATGAGGATGATGACTCCCAGATGGAGGGTGTCGTGCAGGCTGTATGGATGAGCGGTGTTGACGGCGTTATCGTTGGCAACACGACGAAGCGGCGTGCCGGGTTGGTCCCAGAAGGCATGAGGTTAAACGCGAGGGAACTGAAGGCGCTGAAAGAGGAGGGCGGATTTTCAGGTCCGGCCTTGTTTGATCAGACACTCAAGATGGTCGGGCGGTATCGCAAGATGCTGGACAACTACAGCCTCCGCTCATCGGCGGATGAGGAGGTCCAGGAGGCCCCACAAAAGGTCATCTTCGCAACTGGAGGAATCACCAATGGCGAGCAGGCACTGAAGGTCCTAAATGCCGGCGCAAGCGTCGCCATGGTCTACACGGGGATGGTTTACGGTGGCTCAGGCACCATCACACGGATGAAGGGCGAGATGATGCAGGCGTTGTCTGATAAGAGCGCATGAGCTTGAGCATGGAAGTAAAAGGGTACATACATACACCCATTTCCGGGTTTCCTTGTAGACTAAACTCGTCGCGGAATTGCAGACATACCCAGGGGCAACGCCATGCTACCGAATAGTATATCCTACTGGGGTTTCTGTTCTGGTCCCAGTTTCCAGCTCCCCAACCACCGCCACGCTCTTATCAACCTGACGATCCCAGCGCGGGCTCATCTTTTGGCTGCGTCCCAAGATCTGCATAGCGTTCTGTCACAGCGCCCACTCAACCTCCACAACATCTTCCACAGCTCCGGACAGCTGCAATTAAATTGCCTTGTGTCCCCGTTGCAATGTCGTCAAATCTGATCTTCAATGCCGCATCTGTCGTGCCGCTCGCCACGTGGTTATGTTTCACTGGGACCAATATTCAATCCGAGGGTTCGGGTTATCCCCGGCACGGAAACAAAACACAAAACACGCCAAAAAACACACAATCACCACAGGCGAAAAAGGGGGACAAAAAGGGGCACAACCACCACCCGCCTGTCTTCACCTCTCTCCCGCCGGGAATTGAACCCGGGTCTCGAGCGATGACGTTCAAGATCTCTCTTGATTGACAAGCTCACATACTGACCACTATACTACGGAAGATGTGTGAATGTTTGGCATTCACCGTAGCAGACAGGCGGCGGAGCGAGGATGTGCGAATTGGATGCTCCGTGGATCGAACACGGGGTCGTCTGTAGAATGCAGAGAACACAAGGTCATTGCAAAACAGAAATCATACCACTAGACCAAACACCCAAGGAGCTTCTGGTTGGAGATGGAGCCTGCAGTGAGTGCTTGTGAGTGGATTGACGAGGCTGCGCATCCACAGGACTGTGGGACTCGTGAGATCCGCTCTGCGAACACGGGCTCTGTCTGACTCGTGCGTAGGGTGCGAAGTTTGGTCGCAGAAGGTTTGGACGACTGGAGCATGAGATGGTGGGTCGCTGTTGGGATGTCGGTTGGGATATCGATGCGTGAGCTGTGTGACGCCATGGTTTGTCGTGTAGATAGAAAACGTCAAGGTCCTGCAGGGCACAACAATCAGAAGCCATCACGCCAGTCGTACCGATCCGGGCCGAGTGGCCTGGCCCAAGAAACCGGCCGCGTGGAAGTCATTTCCCTAAATAAATTCCCCAATGCAAAGAAGGGTGCGGATAGAAGCGAAGGCCGAATGCTAATCCTCCCGTGCGGGAACTCGCTTCGGGTAAACGTTGGGCTAAAGAAGCCATTAGCCCGCCGGAAATGGACTTGCCCCTAGATCACTGGAGCTCGGTCGAACTCAATTGCTATACGAGATTTGTGAGATTCCTTGACTCTCGCGAGAGCTTGCACTCTAGAGGCTTGATGTTTACTGTCGACTGAGACTGGTCTTGAGATTCAGGGGTTCTTAGGCCAGTTCCCATCCGGACCGCCTCACGGGGCCGAACCCGGAACTCGGGCCCCTCGCCGACAGCGGAGAAAGCCGATACCTCGGGTTGCAAGGGATGGGCGATGCCTAAGCTCCTTGACTTTGCCTCATCATATCGGTACACGACGTAGAGATTCAGGCGAAGTGCTTTCTGTTTGGAGGCACGGAACGGTGGTCTGCTGGCTGGTAGCTGCTGTTGTCGTCATGTTTGGTTGCAGTGCCCAGAGCAATCCGCCTGCCGGGTTTGGGAGACAACACAAAGCATTGTGTTTCCCATTTCAGGCATACCCAAATCTTGATGCTAGCGTCGCATCTGATTGCCGTCTGATGCTGTCAGCAGACAAACCCGTGCCCACAGGACCCTGAAAACAAGCGTCGTAGTGAATCCGCACAAGGCTGCTGTTCTTGCATGCTGCTGGGTCAATGGCCTTGGGGGCCCTGAAGCTTTGCGGGGCCACGAGAGGTCACACAGCGCGACGCCTCCGACTGTGAGCAGACGGTCCAGCCATTATTTTCTGTGTGGTACCAGGCACAACGGACATCTGGGCTCCTCAACAATTCGCCTGTCGCCTGAGCCGGTGACATTGGCACACACAGAGCCGACGGCAGCGACGCCTGCGACATCCGATTTCGATCACCGTCAGGAACGGGACGGCTGAGATTATCTTCGCTGTATTCTTGGGTGGGAAGCATAGCTTTCATGCTAAGGACGGCATCTCCTTGGAAATCGCGGGCTGCGGCGGTAGCCAATCACAGCGCTGTTCATGGGCGAGGAGGGATGGCATGAAACGTCGATGGCGCTCACCGTTCTCAGCTCGCCAGACATCGTTTTTTGTCAAGTCACGGCTCCTCTTCCGAATCGTGGCGTCTTGATGCTCATCAGCGAGAGCAAGTCTAACGGTGATGGGGAAGAGTCAGCATAAAACCTGGCTTCTGTGTTACCATTGGTCCCCGCACCAATCTGATGCGGCGGGCCAAAAGCCCCGATCAATGAGCGAGCCTTTGGCTGTCAGGCCCCGAACTCATCTCGAGGGAGAAGACTCAGCAGGGCCACAATCGGTTGGTGTCCAATCGTTGGCCCATCTCTCGTTCCCTGAGGCTCGACGTTTTGAGGGAGCTGCTCGCCCAACTTCGATGAATATTCCCGAATTGCGTTTAGTTGCGGGGAAATACCCGTGCAACGCGCGCATCGGACCAGAGTCTGATTGATGATTGAGTTTGTGATCGTATCACTGTAGACTTGCTTGCGTCGTCTGGGACACAGGTGGTCAACCTTTGAGCGCGTTTCGCTCAACGTCCAGAGTGTTGCGGGAAGATCGATTACACGTGTCGGGCTGACAGGCATTGCAGAGGAGGAGCCGAGCCTCCCCTGTCATCAACCCCTCCCTCAATTGCTCTGCGGCTGTGAGCTGTCGTTGCTTTTTCTGCGCTGCCCAGTGTCGGCGAAGCGATTCAAAACGGTCGTCCGGCATCGACAGCTCAGCGCGCGGGACGACCTGCAGCCAAAATGCAGCCTCTGAACGCTTTGGCCATCATGAGTGGGCGAGAGATTTTCCTTTGCCAGTTCGCGATGCAGTGAGCAAACCGGACTGGCCAGGACAAGGGCGCCGCCGCGACGCCAATCCTCGGGCAAGATCCGTGTCGTCAGGCCCCTCCACTGCTACGACCCTGGTCGGGGGGCTCCCCACAAGCTGCTGCTCGATGACATAATTGGCCAGGTTGACGTCCACGGTCCCCTCATCGCGGGGATGAGCTTCCCAGGAATTCATCAGTTTTCAAACGAACTGCTCTCTTGCGGTTGCGCGTCGTGACAATGCTGGAGGCGAGGACCTGGAGGCACCGAAGCTATTCTCGTCAGCGTGGGTCGCGAGAACAGTGCTCCACTGGCAATACGAGCGAAAAGCGTGCAGAAACATTGCATCCTACTGTGCGTTGGTGGCTAAACTGCATGCCCAGCCGCGGCCGCCAGTCCCACATTCAGGTTCGTGCCTTCCAAATGTTCGAAAAGGGCAGCTCGAGGCCGAGCACTAGACCTCAGGGCAGCGCGCAGAACGTGCTTCGCACGCGAATCAGCCATCGCGATAAGGCATGCTTCGTGTCGTCAGCACGCTGCAGCTCTCTGTCTCGGGGCTTTGCTGAAACAACCTGGCTCGCCTCAACACTTCGAAGGGTGTGAAGTGACTGCATCAACGGATCACCGACCGTTTTGGAGGGGCAAACGCAGCCTTGGCCCGCGCCAGAATCGCGATCAGGTTCGGCACCGCTGGCACGCAGGGAGACTACCCTGCAAGGACGATAAACGACGAGATGCATCAATCGATAGTGTATCTGCCAATTGGCACGGGTTTGCCTTTGATCCTTGCGTATCGTCGCCTGAAATGCGCCTCTGGCAGCCTGAGCAGATGGTGTTACTTTCGTGCTGGTGAGTTTCTGGGAAGCAAACAGGGACCCGGCATGCAAGAAACCGCCTGTGAACCATTGCCATTTCCGCTCGTCATCTGGTCATGCCAGCAACATGCTCATCAGCGCCCACACTTCGTATTATTGTATCATTTCATTTTCGTCCTGTCAGCGCTCACCGGCGTGGTACGCTCACCACCGCAATTCCACGTCGTTTGCGCCAGGGCCTACCAAGTTGCGGGGAGAAGGTCCAAACCCCTCTGGTGCAATTTGGACCTGGTCGGCGGGAAGCTCTTCTTGCCACCCCTGTTTAGGATAGGAAATCCGGCACCGGACGTTTAGCGCCTTGGTAGTGTACCGACGAGGAAACAGAAAAGAAGAAAAAAACACGCAAAGTTGGCTGAGGGGGCGAATGATCATCAAAATCGTGACGGAGGCGGCGGAGGGTCCTGCCTGTCAGAATGGAGCATGGAGACGAACCTGATGACGGGATGCGATGGCACTGGGTGGAAAAGCGGGAAACAGCGCGGGTCCACCCACAGGGTCAGAGCTCCGTTGCAACCCTGAGGTTTAGCTCGCCGCTCCGTTTCTTCCTTCAACCTCGCAGCTCCGTCTCCCCGCCTTGAAGCCCTTCCAGCTGCGTCTCCACTGCATCCAAGACGCTCCGTAACCCATCCATCGGATCCAGGGAGCCCTTGGCCAGAGACCGTACCTTGCTTACTCCCTGCTTTGGTGCCATTCTTATTTTTCTCCTACGGTAGGGGCCGATGCGACATACAGCAGCGCCGAGACGCCCGTCAAATACGTAGTGCATCCCCAGACCCACCGCTGCCGTCGGGCCCTCCACCTCCCTCAGACATTCACCCCGCCTTGCCGAAGCAGCACAGGCTCGACAGGGAAGCGACCGTCGATCATTCTGGTCCCTCTGCGCGACGTCGTCCCTCGATTCACTCCTGTCCCAGCCTGGTTTCTGCCGCCATTCCAAGAAGCAAGCGAATCTGCCTTTTTGTCGCACAGCGTCCGCGAATCAGCGTATCTGAGGGCCGTGGCACACAGCCTTTCGGGAGACCCTTGGGACAAAATCACCGCCTTTCCCAACTCAAACGAATCATTCCGCCCCTCTTCACACCACGAAGCCGACCCTAACGCCTCAGACTTTTTTTTTTTTTTTGCTGAAACATACGAAGCATGCCTTAGAACGACACGCGCTCAACGTGACAAGTGCTCCCACCGCGCGCAATCAGACTCGCCAACACATCGCGTAACCTCGTCTCGCTTATCCCTTGGTCACCATGTTCATGATGAATCGACTTCGCGCTTCTCCCAGAACAAACGACACCAGCCGAACATCCGACGCAGTCTTCTGCTGCTCCCACTTATAATCTTCACGCCCGAAAGATATCACGCCGCGCGCTGTCAGCGCTGCATTAGACGCTATGGCTATGTGGCCATTCCGGCGGAAGAGCCGAAGGAAGCGGGTTCGGGCGAGCACAACAGACTTTGAGGAAGCCAGAGGCCGCGCGGCTGAAGAAACGCTTCCTCCCCGGAGCCAAACCCTACAAGACCTGACAATGCCTATTGCAGTCTCGGAGCCTGAGCAGAGCAGCAGAAAGCAACGACCAGAGCCCAACAAATTACAACGCAGGCAGCGGACTTACAGTTTCTCCCCAGGGCGCCGCGACTCAATTGGACCCGGCCGAAGAACGAGCGTGCGAGCGCAGAGACAGTCGCACGCACCTACACCCAATACAAACACCATGGATCCGGCTCTTGGATGGCGAGGAGCCCGACAGGACAGGGTAGCCGACAAGGAGATGGGCATAATGCGCAACGACGAGTTCCGGCGAGTGCCCACTCTCCACAACAAGCGCGACGGTGACGAACTTCCCCGCAAGAAGTCGAGCAAAAAGAGACGCAAGGATGATCACCAGCGTGAGGCTGAGATCAA